CATCAAATCAACGCACTTGAGAACCCAGTTTAACCGCTACTCAGTCAATGTGAGCCACGGGTCCCCACGGAAGTCTACGCATCTCTGTGCGAGTCATTTGAGCCCAGGCTGCGACCATGCCGGTCTAAACACAAGTCAGACAAGTCTACGGGTCTCTATGTCTAAGGGTCTCTATGAAAGTCTATGGGATTCTATGTGAGTCTATGGGTCTCTATGTGAGTCTATGGGTCTCTACGTGAGTTTACGGGTGTTGGACACCCACCTCGTGCTCGCTAACAGCACTTGCCCCAACAGTCTGTTGAAGGCTATACGGGGGTTCATTATTTGTTTTGTTCATGCGAGTCTATGGCTCTCTAAGTCGACACGTCTATGGAAGCCTATGGGTATCTGTGTGTCTGCCGGCCAAGTCTTAGCTCAATGGGCTTCACTTGGGGAAATAAACTTCTGATTCTGTGTTAGTCACTGGTGATCTGGCTGAGACCATCAACTGATTGCAAAATAAACTTGAAACCTGAAGCTCTTACACAAGTGACAATTAACCTAACAAAAACACACGGACACGCTCACACGCAATGTAACTTGGTATTGGGCCAAACACCCTCCTAACGCCGGAGAATTATATTATCTACAATTTACTCAATTTTGGACAAAGTCGCCCCCTACTGCAAGACCCTGGGTGTTAAAAAGTCTCGACGGGCGAGGCTTGAGAAAACGAGCGTAACAATAACGAAAGAAATAAGTAATATTTAAAAATACTTTTTTTTTAAAACACGCTTTAATGAAATGTACCGTACTAGTAGTGGCAGAACTCCACGACTCCAGGAAGTGGCCCCCGAAGCTCGCCACAACGTAAGTAACCGTGGTGATTTACAGCCAACGTCGGTTGAGCGTGGATAATTAGACCCAAGCCGAAAAATAACATATAAAAAAGATCGTTAAAATTTTTTTTTTTCTTTTTAATGATAGAATATCGTATTGTCATCAGTATGACATACGTATACCAAGTTTGCAGTCGATAGCACATTGGCAAGTGGGTTAAAATTGAGTTACAAGATTTGAGGATAGGACAACAGACAGAGTGAGTTAAACAAAAGCGTGTAAAAGAATGTACAGAAAGTGTTGGATTCCAAGTATTTTCCGCCGGGTGACCTCTGGCTTTTCCCCTCCACATTTAGAAACATGCCTTTGTAGACTATTTGGCTGTTATGAATGTGCACGTGATAAGGCAACTTCGCTGAGCTATCATTCGTGGCCAGGTCGCCTCTGAAAAAGAGCTACATGAATATATACCTCAGCGGGCCTTGCCTGATGAAATAAAAACAATAGTTTAGTTTCAAATTGAGCCACCATGCAATACACCAAGAGTACTGATTACTTCAACTTACAACTTGCACAGCTTTGGAACCTGGCACTACCCACAATTGCCCAAGCTCTGCAGTCCTCTATGTCAGTGTTCTTCATTGCAAGGCCCCGCGTGCCACTGGCGGGCCCCTGGTGGCCTTTAGTGCGGCCCCCAACAATACAAAAATATTGACAACAACCCCCTCCCATCATCATCATCGTGGTGCTGTCACAAACCCAATGGTTACAAATGTGTGGCGGCCCTCCTCCTCACACCGATGATGTCTTATCGGCGAAAGTGCACCTCCCACCTCGGCCAAATCCCGACCCTGAAAATGAGCGAAGGACACTGCTCTATATGCGACGTGGTTATCAGAAATAAAATATTTCTTTACACTGGAGGAATCCCATAAGCTACACAGCTCTTTTTCACAGATGTCCAGTAGGGGCAGAGGGTAACAACAACAACGACAACAAACAGCGACAAAAACCACGATGGGAGTGCAAAGTACAAGAAAGGTGAACAAATCACCCAAACACATACCAATAACACTAAACCCATCCCCACCCTACCAGGCAAAGCCCAGTGAGATATGACCTTATTTTTCAGAATCGACCTGGCCACAAATGAAAGCTCAACAAAGTGGGCCCCCATCATGTGGGCATTTATAGCAGGCGAAAAAAGAAATGTAAATCATCTCAAAGCGTGTTCCCAAACGTGGAGGGGGGAAAACAAAAAAATACCGGAGGACGGTGCAAGCCACGGCGCGCAGACGCACGGTTGATTCCTGCCGGGCGTTCGGGCCCGGCCCGCGGCGACTCCGGCCACACCACGTCCACGAATGCGTGACCGCCAATGGCCTTGCCGACAGGCCACGGGGCCACCTAACTCCAGGCCATGCCTGCGGGCGAGCTCGGGTAGAAGCGTGCGTCTAGAACCGTTGAGGAGTTTATTTGGCTACCGCTGCACATTTCCACGTGTTTTAGCCAAACTCGTAGAGGTTATTACTGGTGGCCGGGTCAGGTAGTTGTGAGGCGAGGTGGGGGGTGATAGTTGGGTGGGGGGGGGTAACAGTTGGGTAGGGGGGTGATAGTTGGGTGGGGGGGTGACAGTTGGGTGGGGGGTGATAGTTGGGTGGGGGGGTGACAGTTGGATGGGGGGTGATAGTTGGGTGGGGGGGGTGACAGTTGGGTGGGGGGTGATAGTTGGGTGGGGGGTGATAGTTGGGTGGGGGGGTGACAGTTGGATGGGGGGGGTGACAGTTGGGTGGGGGGGTGACAGTTGGATGGGGGGGTGACAGTTGGGTGGGGGGGTTACAGTTGGGTGGGAGGTGACAGTTGGGTGGGGGGTGACAGTTGGGTAGGGGGGTGACAGTTGGATGGGGGGGGTGACAGTTGGGTGGGGGGGTGACAGTTGGGTGGGGGGGTGACAGTTGGGGGGGTGATAGTTGGGTGGGGGGGTGACAGTTGGGTGGGGGGGTGACAGTTGGATGGGGGGGGGGGGTGACAGTTGGGTGGGGGGGTGACAGTTGGGTGGGGGGGTGACAGTTGGGTGGGGGGGTGACAGTTGGGTGGGGGGTGATAGTTGGGTGGGGGGTGATAGTTGGGTGGGGGGGGGGTGACAGTTGGGTGGGGGGGGTGACAGTTGGGTGGGGGGGGTGACAGTTAGGTGGGGGGTGATAGTTGGGTGGGGGGGTGATAGTTGGGTGGGGGGGTGACAGTTGGGTGGGGGGGGGGGGTGACAGTTGGGTGGGGGGGGGGGGTGATAGTTGGGTGCGGGGTGATAGTTGGGTGGGGGGGTGATAGTTGGGTGGGGGGGTGATAGTTTGGTGGGGGGGTGATAGTTGGATGGGGGGTGATAGTTGGGTGGGGGGGTGACAGTTGGGTGGGGGGTGATAGTTGGGTGGGGGGTGATAGTTGGGTGGGGGGGTGACAGTTGGATGGGGGGGTGACAGTTGGATGGGGGGGTGACAGTTGGGTGGGGGGGTGACAGTTGGATGGGGGGGTGACAGTTGGGTGGGGGGGTTACAGTTGGGTGGGAGGTGACAGTTGGGTGGGGGGTGACAGTTGGGTAGGGGGGTGACAGTTGGATGGGGGGGGTGACAGTTGGGTGGGGGGGTGACAGTTGGGTGGGGGGTGACAGTTGGGGGGGTGATAGTTGGGTGGGGGGGTGACAGTTGGGTGGGGGGGTGACAGTTGGATGGGGGGGGGGGGTGACAGTTGGGTGGGGGGGTGACAGTTGGGTGGGGGGGGTGACAGTTGGGTGGGGGGGTGACAGTTGGGTGGGGGGTGATAGTTGGGTGGGGGGTGATAGTTGGGTGGGGGGGGGTGACAGTTGGGTGGGGGGGGTGACAGTTAGGTGGGGGGTGATAGTTGGGTGGGGGGGTGATAGTTGGGTGGGGGGGTGACAGTTGGGTGGGGGGGGGGGGTGACAGTTGGGTGGGGGGGGGGGTGATAGTTGGGTGCGGGGTGATAGTTGGGTGGGGGGGTGATAGTTGGGTGGGGGGGTGATAGTTTGGTGGGGGGGTGATAGTTGGGTGGGGGGGTGACAGTTGAGTGGGGGGGTGATAGTTGGGTGGGGGGTGATAGTTGGGTGGGGGGGTGATAGTTGGGTGGGGGGGTGATAGTTGGGTGGGGGGGTGACAGTTGGGTGGGGGGGTGATAGTTGGGTGGGGGGGTGATAGTTGGGTGGGGGGGTGATAGTTGGGTGGAGGGGGTGATAGTTGGGTGGGGGGGTGATAGTTGGGTGGGGGGGTGATAGTTGGGTGGGGGGGTGATAGTTGGGTGGGGGGTGATAGTTGGGTGGGGGGGTGATAGTTGGGTGGGGGGGTGATAGTTGGGTGGGGGGGTGACAGTTGGGTGGGGGGGTGATAGTTGGGTGGGGGGGGTGATAGTTGGGTGGGGGGGGTGACAGTTGGGTGGGGGGGTGATAGTTGGGTGGGGGGTGATAGTTGGGTGGGGGGGGGGGTGACAGTTGGGTGGGGGGGGGGGGTGATAGTTGCGTGCGGGGTGATAGTTGGGTGGGGGGGTGATAGTTGGGTGGGGGGGTGATAGTTTGGTGGGGGGGTGATAGTTGGGTGGGGGGGTGACAGTTGAGTGGGGGGGTGATAGTTGGGTGGGGGGTGATAGTTGGGTGGGGGGGTGATAGTTGGGTGGGGGGGTGATAGTTGGGTGGGGGGGTGATAGTTGGGTGGGGGGGTGACAGTTGGGTGGGGGGGTGATAGTTGGGTGGGGGGGTGATAGTTGGGTGGGGGGGTGACAGTTGGGTGGGGGGGTGATAGTTGGGTGGGGGGGTGACAGTTGGGTGGGGGGGTGATAGTTGGGTGGGGGGTGATAGTTGGGTGGGCAGGGCGTGAATAGTAGATGGGGAGTTTTATAGTGGGGGGGGGTGATGGTTGGGGGGTGGGGGGGTGACAGTGGGGGGGGGGGGTGACAATTGGGGGGTGACAATGGGGGGGTGACAATGGGGGGTGGGGTGACAATGGGGGGGTTGACAATGGGGGGGGGACAATGGGGGGGGGACAATGGGGGGGGGGGGGACAATGGGGGGGGGTGACAATGGCGGGGGGGGGGGGACAATAGGGGGCGGGTGACAACGGGGGTGACAATCGGGTGGAGGGGTGACAGTTGTGGGTGTTGGGTGGGGGGCGGTCGCCCACCTTCTCGGCGTAGGTGGCGGCCTCCCTCGCGCGCGCCCCCGTGGTCTGCACGCGCTCGTGCCGCACGAGGCCCGTGACGAGCAGCCGCAGGAGGTCGAGGCGCGCGCCCGGCTCGCGCCCCAACTGCCGCCGCGCGCGCCCGTGACGCATCAGCAGCAGCTGCGTCAGCCTCATCGATTTTCTGTTTTTGGATGTCGACGAATTCTTATTTTTCTTCGCCTCACGAAAGGTGAGCCAACTAAGAACAAGAAGAAGAAGGAGAAGCCTCCCAGGAGCGAAGTGAGCCTCACTCCCTTCAACGCGTGCGCGCCAAATGACCCCAACGCGTCCCGTAGCCGGGGGGTGGGAGGGTCGCGAAGGGGACACTCGCGAAGCCACGCGCGGCCATCTTGGTTAAGGGTTTATTTTTCACGGACGCTTGTGTTGCAATCGAAACGTCCGTGGTTTATTTTATTTTATACCTACGTGACTTTTTACCGAAGTAACCAAAGAGTATGCGTTCTCTTTTTTAAAACTTTTTTTTACTCGGTCGCACGACACGAGGTGATTAATTTTAACGACTGTCATCTCGCGTGTGGGTTTTTTTCTTCGATATATTCATGAATAAAACGGTTCCTACGTACGATGGTTGTTAAGCGCCTTACGGGTTTTTTTTTTTAAATCGATATAAATTTTGGTATGAGACGCCGGATATTACGACACGCGTCACAGAGTGGCGGGTGTCGCTCCCTGAGTAAGATGGCGGCCGACGGCGTTGGCCGAGAGGTGTGGAGGTTGTGTGTCACGTGACACTTCGTGTACGGGTCGCCAAACTGGACCCCAAAAAAAAGTCGATTGTATTACTAATAAAAATAAACGCTTTCTCACAAATATACATTTAACGTGTTCCTTATTAGTGTTTGCTCTGCGGCGCGGTGGCCAAGTGGTAAGGCGTCGGTCTCGTAAACCGAAGACCGCGGGTTCGAACCCCGCCCGTGCCTCGACCGTAGATATTTTAAAATAAAAACTAATCATTCCCCCCCCACACCCTTTGCGTTTTAAACTAAAAATTAATAATTTAAAGCGTTTTTAAATATACAGCTGATCATCATCGATATTATCCGGCGGTCCCGGGACCGATCTGGCCAAATTTGCTCCAATTCTTTTTTTTTAAATCTATGGTTGATTTCAGGGTTAAAATATTACATACACTACATTATACACTGCATACAACTTCAACTGTGAAAATACTGCGCGTGTTTAATGCATCACCCCACGCAGTGTCAGAATATGTATTTGTATTGCGGGAGAAATCCGATGAGCTATAAAGCTCTTTTCCAACAGATGTCCCAGTATCGGTACGGGGGGCTCAGCAAGTTGCAAAAACAAACGATACACACAAACCCGATATGAGTTTAAAATAGATACAATGGTAAGAAAGACAATAGATATGAACACGTAAGGGGCCGTCCATAAATGACGTCACGCGATTTTGGACGATTTTTTACCCCCCCCTCCCTCCCCTTCGTCACACGACGTCACAAAAAGTCAGACCCCCCCATCAAATATGACGTCACAAAGCTCTGCCCCCTCCCCCCCCCCCCCAATATAAAACATGCTTCAAATCTTGATTTAAAGCTTTCGTGACTGCAGTAATTTATATTCTTAGCTCTTTCGGTAAAGTCACGTTGAAGGGAAACAATAAAATAATAAAATATATATAAAACAATAAAAAAATTCTCACTACGTTTCGACCATAACACAAACGGTCGTCATCAGGTTATGGTCGAAACGTCGTGAGACTTTTTATTGTTTTATATATATTTTATTATTTTATTGTTTCCCTTCAACGTGACTTTACCGAAAGAGCTAAGAGTATGCTTCAAATCGTTTTAAACTATTGTTGTCATTGTAGCGCGTATTTAATGTGGCGCTGCACTCTGATGTTGTAGGAGAAAACATTTATTAAAAAGTCTACGTGCTGTTTATATTGATTCAAAGTTGCGCATTTTGATGTGACGTCACATTTCTCAAACCTCCCCCCCGGCCCTCCCTCGTCACACATCGTCACAAATGTCTGACCCCCCCACCTCCCCCAGGTGCGTGACGTCATTTATGGACGGCCCCTGATAAGTACACTAATTATATAAGTCCGATTAATTAAGATTGGTGGCAAAGCAGCAAAATCAATAACAAAACGGTCCCAGACCACACCAAGATAACCCTTTCTGGCAATAAAGCAGGTGTTAACATGTTCAAACGCTGAACAGAAATCAAGATTCTGATGTCAATGTTACATGTTTCTCCTATACAATTGGACGTCGCAATGCGATTGGCATTCGGTTCATAGGATCACAGATCAGAACGCGGCGGCTAAGCAGGCGTTGAGCCTGGACAGCGTTTGGATGGACAACCACCACCGTGCATAACAGGCGCTATAGGCTGCTGCGAGGCCACTTAACGGGCAGCAGAGGGCATCACAGTGCAATCCATGCACACTTAGCGCGGTCGTCTACGTAGGGTGCGAAAGAAGTGCAGCATGCATCGGGGACGAGCAGCCAGGGGAGGCAGGGGAAGCACAGCCTCACCCGTCATGCCAAAAGTTTTAAAAAAAAATAATGAACAAAAATTTAAGATTTTTCCACTGATCTGTGTTGTAAATGTCATTTCTGTACGATTCCAATCATTTTTTTTTATCGTCAAAATCGCCAAAATTGCGGAGCTCCGCTGCAAATACTGCAGTAAGAGACGAGAGGTGAGGCAGCGTCGAGCTCAGCCTCCCCTCTGATTGCGCAACCCCTCAGTAACTGGATGGAGCACGGGCAATAAGCGCGTGCCTGCTACTATCTCTCAGTATGTCACCAATGTAATGTTTGTAGACCCCTTCATTTCATGTACCTCGCCTTCCATACTCGGGGTAACTTATTTCACGTGTGTGTTTAAAGATATTTAGGCCTCGCTGGTCTCGTCGTGAAACTGCAATGAATAAAGAACCAGGGGAGGCAGCTATCACATCTGCCTCACTGAGGGGGACGTGTCTAACACGCCCCCCTCAGTGAGGACACGCCCCCTCTGTGAAGCCACGCCCCCTCAGTGTGTTAATCCGGCTCTGACACTAGATGACGAACGCATGTGTTGCGATCGAAACGTCGTGATTTATTTTATTATATATTTATTTTTGACTAGCTTTACCACCCGACTTCGTCCGGGACTTGGATTCACCACGCCCGGCCGCCTTTGTCTCCCCACACCAGTTAATTGTTTGAGGCTGAGTCGACCTAGGGGAGGCGCAGGACCGGTTCAAATTATCGTCACCGCTGGTGGCCGTGAGCGGGAATCGAACCCGCGTGGCCGGGTTCGTAGCGCGGCGTAGCGCTAACCGCTACACTACAATGCGTTACGCTTCCACGTGCGCGGGTCACGTGACAAATTTGACGTCACAGCTCACTTGCCGTGCAAAAAAATAAATGCATTATTGAGCTCCCCCCCTCCCCCCCCTAAAAAAATACAAAAGTCTATTTTTATAATTTTTGCATGGTGTACAGTCTAGAAAGTACCCACATGGCAAATCTCCAGTTTGTTGCATGTCGGGAAGTACGCTAAACATTTTTAACACACACACATAATCACAACTTTGCATTTTATATATACGGAGACTACGTGATGACTTTACCTAAAGAACCAAAGAGTATGGATTCCTGCAGTCACGAAAGCTTCAAATCAAGAATGTATTTGTACTGTTTGTTGTTGTAACGCTCTTACCCTGTGCCCCTGCTGGACATGTGTGAGAAAGAGCTTTATAGCTCATCGGATTCCTCCAGTATTCATACATATTCTGATTCTAAATGACAGTGGCCTTAACAAGGGTGAATATATAAGAAGTAGACTTCTCAAGCAATGGCCCTTCTTTCTATCTATGTGCTCTGAAGAAGCTCCATTGTCCGAAACGTAGCTTATATATTTATGTTAAGACCGCTTGAAGCAGACTGTTGGGCCAAGTGCTGTTAGCGAGTAGCGCGTATGAAGTCAGTGACAATACTGTTATTAGGGAATGTTGAGTTTTAATTTTTTCCCGATAACGTCCGCTAGAGGACGCTATAGCTACGCCCAGGACAACCTTCTGTGACAGGCTCTCATTCAGGGCCATTTCCTGAAACGTCGCCAATAATAACCATATATATAATAGCCTTATGCGGCCCTAATGACAGGGCATATAGCGGTTGTTATATTTTATTTTAGCATATCACAAAAGTGTTATTGCATTTACTTAACAAATGTTCAAATGTGACTTCAATTAACACGCACGGGTGAGGCATGGATTCTCTTTTCAAATTGTCAGACTTTTTTTCCCTTCAAAGATGACAGGCGTCTAACCTTTGAAAAATCCGTCAATTATGCTTCCCCCTCAATTCAGTCAATGTTTCCCGACACTTTTAAATGTCATCCAAGTAGACGATACAATATATTAATGCTATTATATATAAAAGATTAACTTAAATATTAAACGTGTTTTTTTTTCTCTCTCATGCCAGTATGAAAATGAATATGACAACCCAATGTGGCCTGACTTTTGGGCTAACCTATATATATGTCCCTCCTTTTAATGCCACCGTGTTACTGATGACTACGCTGAGTGGTATCGGACTGTACATGTGCTTGTGCAATACTGCCAACGCATCCATAGCCTCATCGAGCATTTTAAACAATAAAGTTTTTTAAAAATGTATTTTGCCAGCTAAGGCCCCACTGAGGCATGTAAGCTCTTTTTCAGAAGCGACCTGGCCATCACAACGAAGTGGTTTATCATCATCATCATCATGTGGACATTTATAGCAGCCGAATTGCTCTAAACGCGTGACGTTTATTCTAAATGTGGAGGGAAAACCCGGAGGACGCGGAGAAAAATCGACGCGACCACGGGGGAGAGAGAGCGGCACGAAAACTCCCAATGTTGTGAAAATAGAACGGACCAGACCACACGTGGTCATTAACCAAGAAAATGGAACAAACACTGCCAAAGTGTGCAAAGAAGCGTGGAGATATTCGCGCTTGGAATTAATTACACTTGGGTGACAGAGAGATGAACACCCGGGACTAGAGAGCGTGAAATATTGCCCGCGGCAACATTCAAAGCCGTTAAGAACATTAAGTGGCTCATGTAAGAACAGGTCATCATGGCTGCAGGGAACGATGGCCGATCGATGGTCAAGACGAATAACGGAATTGCAGCCAAGGCACGGAACGCCGCGGCGTTCGAGGGAGGAACGCACAACGAATTTTGACGGAGCGATGTCATCAGCTCCCTTGCGAGGTGGATTGGATTTTTGCATCTGGGAATTGCGAGATGTCATCAG